CCTGAGCCCCGCCCCGCCCGCGCGAGGGGGCACGGTTGCCAACCTCCAGGGGGGTGTCTGGAGTGCAACGCGCCCTTTCTAAGCTGTGGAGAGAGAGGCCTGTGAGCAGGAATTCTACTTTCTGAACTTGTGGGCGAGCGATTAGGCTGCTGCATCAATTAAGTTTGCTCTGGAGCCCCGTCCTTCCTGAGCAAAGGCAAAAATGTGTGAGCCGGAGGCTAGAAAACTGCGAGCTGGCCCACACTCACTCAGCTTAGAGGGAACGCTGCCTCGCTGGGTTGTTGTGAACAAAACAGAGAAGAATTTCGCTGAGAATATTGCTGGATTTTCGGAAGTCCGGGAAAGGACCTCAGCGGGGCAGAACTGCCTTTGAGCCCCCCCTCCAAAGCAAGCCATTTCCTCCGGGAGAACTGACCTCTGCAGTACAGCGACTCCCCTTGTGATTCCGGGAGGTCTCCAGGCCCCACCTGGAGGTGGGCAGCCCTGTGTGGTGGTCAAGAATGTCAGCTCTGTGAACAAAACAGAAGAATTACGTTTTGAATACTGCTGGATATTTGGGAGTCTGGTGGGAAAGGACCCCAGCAAGCGCAGAATGCCTTAGAGCCCACCAATGCTCCCTCTAAGCTGTGGAGAGTCTTGTGAGCAGAAATTCCACTTTGCGAGCTCCTGGCATTAAACTTGTGAGCGTGCGATTTGGCTGCTGCATAAATTAAGTTTGCTCTGGAGCCCTCCTTCCTGAGCTAAGGCAAAAATGTGCGAGCCGGAGGCTAAAAAACTGTGAGCTGGCTCACACTCACTCAGCTAAGAGGGAACACTGCTCTGCCCCCCCCCATCCAACTTGGGGCTAAGAATCTGCTCTACCTTCTAGGGCCCTTGCAAGGATTATGGTACGATTACTGAGCTCTTTCCACCTGGTCTGCTACCAGCAATAGGTTGGAATGACGTATTACCGTCCACCAGCAGAGTGATTTAGTTTGCTCTGGAGCCCTCCTTCCTGAGCAAGGACAAAAATGTGTGAGCCGGAGGCTAAAAAACTGTGAGCCGGCTCACACACTAACTCAGCTTGGAGGGAACACTGCCTGGGAGACCTCCTGCAATTACAGCTGACCACCAGACTACGGCCCCCCTGGAGGGCATGGCTGCTTTGCCTTTATTCCTTGCCGAGGTCCAGCCCTTCCCAGACGCAACTCCCAAATGTCCAGGGGTTTCCCAACCCAAAGTTGGCAACTCTAACAAAGGAGGGGGAATCACCTCCTGCATGCTCCAGTGTGGGCATATGCGAACACCCCAAGTGTGACTTGGAAAGTTACAGGGGGATGAGCGTTTGCCCTTCAAGGCCGCGTCAGTTGAGGGACCCACTGAAGCCATGAGGTGTGTTGCCACAGCCGGAGGGGAGTGTGAGAGTGGAGCTCCTGAGCAGCATTGAAAAGGAGAGGCTCTTTGGTGCAGGAGTGAGAGCCAGCTTGGTGCAGTGGTTAGGAGCAGCAGACTAATCTGGGAGAGCCGGGTTTGATTCCCCACTCCTCCACATGCAGCTGCCGGTGTGACCTTGGGTCAGTCACAAGTTCTCTCTGAGCTGTTCTCTCAAGAGCAGTTTCTCAAAAGAGCTCTCTCTCAGCCCCACCTACCTCACAGGGTGTCTGTTGTGGGGAGGGGAAGGGGAAGGAGATTGTAAGCTGATATGAGACTCATTCGGGTAGTGAAGGGCGAGAGTATGAATCCAATCTCTCCTCACTGCCTGCTGCAGGAACACACAAGAATGAAAGCAGCCGCGAAAACAGAACCCTGACACTCAGCCTTGCTGGCTAAAATTAAATCCTCTATCAGGCTGAATAAAGCCTTACTGGGAATGCCGCTCTTGCTTAATTGAGTTTGCATCGTGCCGCTGGTATGTGGTGTGTTCCCTAACAGCAGCATGGGCAGGCTCCCCATTGTCTCCAGCATCCAGAGGGGAAAGAGGGGGGGTGACCTAGCAAGGGCTTGGGTGAGATGAGTCAGGGTCTCCTTGAGTTCCAAGTCCAGCCTTTCCTTCCCTGGCCCATAAAATGATACACAGTTAAGAGGCCGTGTACTTAAAATATGCAAGCACCTTGTGTCAGCAGTAGCTCGTCTAATGCTTCATGTTGTGTTCCTTAAAGGAAAGATGATGTTCTATGGTAAACATTGGAAAAAAGGATTTTCTGGTTTGCTGCTTCTTTAAAAGATGTTATAAAATGGGGGGGAAGCAAGTCTGTTGGTGCACTTCACTTTCCGTTGAAGGGGAAGGGAAATACCATTGCACCGATAATTATTTATTTAGTTTTTTATTATTTGCATTTATAGCCTGCCCATCCCGCAAGCGGGCTCAGGGCGGGGTAAAGTCATAAAACATATAATAATTACAATTAAAATTAAACAATTTAAAATTAATAAACATTAAAACACAGTCACACTTCTAACAAATCAGCTGGCGGTGGTGGTTCCCTGGCATATTGTTCGGGTTGCTGTGTGACAACCACCTCAGGGGGGCCATATAGAGACGTCCGCTGCCTCTGCCAAAGGCCCGGTGGAACAGCTCGGTCTTACAGCCCCTGCAGAATTGAAGAAGATCCCACAGGGCCCTAATCTCGACTGGGAGCATGTCCCACCAGGCAGGGGCCAGGGCGGAAAAAGCCCTGGTCGAGGGAAGACGGCCGGCCTTTGGGCCAGGGACAACCAGGAGATGTTGATCCGTAGAGCATAGTGCTCTTCGGGATGTATATGGGAAGAGGTGATCCCTCAGATATGTGGGTCCCAGGCCGTGTAAGGGTTTAAAGGTGATTACCAACACCTTGAACTTGGTTTCCCCCATTTTATTACACCTTTAAAAGAAGGAGCAAAACAGAAAATCCTCTTCCTTTGCTTGCCTCCCCTCCCACCTGTGTTTTCCAGCACCCTCACGGTATTCCAAAGAGCTCTTCCCTTCCCGTGGCACTGAGCCTTCTCCTCCCAAACCCCTGTTCTTTTATGTTATTTACTAAATTTATATCCCGCCGTTCTCTGTAAACAGCTAACTCTCCCAAAGTCTTAGTCCTAGTATTTGCAGATGTGTTGATGGTCTGTAGATGGCCGCTGTGTGCCCTGAACTAGAGCATCTTGGCTCCCAAAGAATCTGCTAGAGGTGGGGTCGGTATTCAGGCTACACTAGAGATGTGAAGGCCCGGAAAAAAACTGGGACCCGGGAAAATTGGGGGGGGGGGGGGGCATTTTTTTCCTGAAGCCTTTTTTGTTTTTTCCCGAAAAATTGAAAAAAGAAAAGGAAAGGGAAAAAATTGATTATGGAAAAAAATTTTAACATGATGAATAAAGTATTTTAAGACAAGGTGTTCAAATATTTTCCAAATCATTTCTAAAAAATATATATGGTATCAGATTGTTCTGATTTCTGTGCACTGAGGACAAGCAAGTCCTAGGTTACGAACTGAACTCTCCAATGCAAGAACAAGATGCTTTAGAAGGTGCTATTGTCACAAGAAAAGAAAAAGGTTTCAATTTTGTTTTTGCGTGTGGGTGGGTATTCTGTTTGTAATAATTGTTTGGACACACTATATTTTTAATATGCTAGTTGTGATCATTTCATGCCAAGTAAAAATGTCCATAGTCATGTTTTATGTTCCTAAAGTAACAGAACAACTTCCAATCTGGAAAAGAAAAAAGAGGTGCTAATGTAGCAATTTTTTTTCCAATTTTTCCAAAAATTTCCGTTTCCCCCAAAAAAGAACTGGAAAAAACCCAGGGTTTTTTACAAGCTTCAAAATTCCCGGAAATTTTACATCTCTAGGCTACACACGATACTAAGGAAGGTCTGTTGCTTTCCCTTTTCCCGTAGGGCACCACCGTGCCAGGATGTCTCCAAAAAGAACAGGGGAGTGTGCCTCACCGAGGAATATCTTTACAATGGGGGACAAATTCTTGCCACGCCGTAAATCCTTCTGGGTGGACAGTCTGTCCTTCCGGAGCCTTGCCATTTTCCGTTTTCAAGGGGGACTGCCGGACGTTGAGGGACCCTAGGCTTGGCTGTCTCCAGTTGATTCATCAGTCTGCATCGCTCAGGGGCCTCACGGTAGAAGACATTCAGAAAGCAAGGGCGTCTCGGCCAAAAGCCGACCAGGAGAGCCAGGGTAAAGTGCGGCAGAAGGTAAGCGCTGCCCGGTGCAAGAGAGAAGCTGGTGCTGGAGCAACTGTATTCCTACCTTACGTGCTGGGCTCTTTGGGAAGGACATGGGGCCTCTTGAGTGGGCCGCTTGGGGCCAGCAGTGCTGTATGGAACTAAGAACGCTGCTGCTTGGTGTCATTGCGAGCCAGGGTGAGAAAAAGGGTGGCCTAGAATCTCTCCTTCCTGGCCTGAGTGCCTCAATATTGCCTGGATGGATTAGACCGTAGCCAAGGAATCATTGAGTCCTAAAGCTAGAGGGCTGCATAGGCAGTCCATACTCCCTCTAAGCTGTGGAGTCTTATGAGCAGAAATTCTACTGTGTGAGCGACTGGCATTAAAGTGGTGAGCGAGCGATTTGGCTCCTTCATAAATTAGTTTGCTCTGGAGCCACCCTACCTGAGCTAAGACAAAAGTCTGTGAACCGGAGGCTAAAAAGCTGTGAGCTAGGTAAAGGTAAAGGTTTCCCTTGCTCGAAAGCCAGTTGAATCCGACTCTAGGGGGTGGTGCTCATCTCCGTTTCCAAGCCGAAGAGCCAGTGCTGTCTGAAGACATTTCCGGGGTCATGTGGCTGGCATGACTAGACGCCGAGGCTCACAGAACACTGTTACCTTCCCACTGAAGCGGTACGTCTTTATCTACTTGCAATTTCTTGCTTTTGAACTGCTAAGTTGGCTGGAGCTGGGGCCAGAGACAGGAGCTCACTCTGTCATGTGGCACTCCGGTCTCTAACTGCTGAACTACAGACCTTCCGGTCTGCAGTTCAGCGTCTTAACCACTTGAGCCACCGCAGACAGAGGCTAAAAAACTGTGAGCTAGCTCACACTAACTCAGCTTAAACACTGGTCCAGGTCCCTGTTGAACACCAAAAATCCAAAGCCTGAGCATTCCCAGCAGACAAAATCTTCCAGGGAGGGAAAAGCCATCACCCACCCACAATTGGTTCCATTGTGGAAATGCTCTTTCTGTTGGGAAGGGCCCTGCCTCAAGACTCCAGTTTGTCTCCACCGTTAGAGAGCCAGTGTGGTGCAGTGGGCAAGAGAGTCAGACTGGTATTTGGGAGACCTGGATTTGAATTCCCCACTCAGGCCGTGGAAGCCCGCTGGGTGGCTCTCTCCGCTTAATCTACCTCACAGGGTCGTTGCTGTGAGAATAAAACGGAGGAGAGGAGAATTATCTAAGCTGTCCTGGGTCTCCACTGGGAAGGCACGGTGAACATACATAAGAACATAAGAGAGAAGCCAATGTTGGCTATCAGGCTAGTGGCCCGTCCAGTCCAACACTCTGTGTCACACAGTGGCCAAAAATACCAGGTGCCCTCAGGAGGTCCAGCAGTGGGGCCAGGAAACTAGGAGCCCTCCCACTGTTGCCCC